GTAATTAATTGTTGTAAAGTAGAAAGATGATCATAATGGAATTATCATGACTTTTTTATAGAAGGAAAATCAAATTATTATAATTAATAAGTTAGAAGAATTTTAATTTTTCATTTTATTTTTCTAAAATAGTATTAATGATTTTTAATAATAATTATAGAAAGTTGAAGACCTCACTTATAGAATAAATAATTTGAATCATTGTATATTAATATTGTTGATAAAGTAGGTGGAGACATTTCATGGTATTAATATGATATTTTTTTCTATTTTGTTTTGGAAAAAATTTAAAATTTCACAAGTTTGACGGAGTTATATTTCATATATAGTCATTAATTAATAATTTTTATTTCAGAAAGTTTTTATTTTATCGAAGAAACTATAGAATCTAGAAGAAGAATGGTTGTTTAGGATAATAATAATTATTAATTGAATGATCATCTGAAAAATTAATCAAAATATAAAATTATGATTGTTTCGTTTTTACCTAGAACATCTAATTTAAATTTTACTAAATGATAATTGTTCATTATGTGCTCATGTGATGACTTAAATTGGTGAATAATTCACTATAATTTAATTAAGTTGCTTCATAATTGTATTTTCATAAGTTGATGTATAATTATAGCTAAAAATTAAATTACACCAAATATATCCTTAATGTATGCGTGTAGGTTCAAACATGTCTTTATCATATATGTATACAATGTATATGTAGTGCATATTTTATATCAGATATACATATACACAATATATACCTTTCATATACAACCAAAATGTATAAACATATTTATTTTAGTCATGCAACTAAACTAGATGACTAAAAATACATTTACGTAACTTCCCTTTTAATTGAATTCATAATATTTTAAAGATATTTTTAACCATTTTTCGCGATTAAAACTATATAGAGGCAATTGTCAATAGTATGACATCCTTGAGAAGAAATTGAAGGCCACTTGTATTGATAATGAAAGCCACATAAATGTAGTAATATATTAGATTTAAACCACTACACCTCTTACAATTGTCACATATCTAACTTTATTTATCTCTATGGATCTCTTTTTCTTATTTATTTTTACCTAAAAAACATGTGCAACCCATGTAACTAAAAAAACCCTCCATTCAATCCCTTCTCGAAATTCACTGATTCAACTAATTCAGATTCATATTAATAACTTTATCAAAAAGTATATGGTGCTTCCTATCACGAATTCATACAAATTCAGAATTTCAAGTTTATGAATTCTTGTAACAATTTCAAGTTAAAACAAAATCATTACTGAGTTTTCCAATTTGTATATTATGATTTGAATACTATTCTAATAAAGTATCAGAATCGAAGTTCTCCATTTCTAGGGTTCGGATCGAAACGCTCTTATTAATTTATAATTACGATGAAGCTAAGGGATACAAACTATATGACCACATGCACACATAGGTGGTCCCTTTCAGCTTAGTTGATTTTAATATAAATATACAACTCATAGCTACCCAAACAAGCCACACCATACCAAACAAAACACAAACTTGTATCAGTATATTCAATATTTCAATATGGGAACCCTATACCAACCTCTTGAATCAACAATCCAAGACCTAAAAGTCACAATCCATAACACTAGCTTAGTCTTCCCATCACAAGAAACTCCAAAAAAACCTATGTTCTTACCAAATATTGATCAAGTCCTCAATTTTGATGTCCAAACACTACATTTTTTCAATGCAAATCCTGAATTTCCACCAGAAATTGTGACGGAACGACTCCGAATCGCGTTATCTAGGGTTCTTGTTCCTTATGATTTTTTGGCTGGGAGACTTAGGATGAATCAAGAGTCAAAAAGATTGGAATTTGATTGTAATAGTGATGCTGGAGCTGTATTTATGGTTGCTTCAAGTGAATTAACATTGAATGAGATTGGTGATTTAGTTTACCCTAATCCTGGTTTTAGACAATTAATTGTTCATGAGAACATTGATATTTTGGAAAAAGATGATAAACCACTTTGCATTCTCCAGGTATATTTTTGATCTATCTCTCCTGTTTATATTATCTGTCTTTTAAGATTTTCATACGCTTTTTTTAAAAAGATATTAAATAGTTGGGACTCCGGATAAATTAGGTTTTGAACGATAGATTCATCTAAATCATGTATTATATTTTTGACATGAAACACACACACGTGGGCACATGCACACACGTATACACATTAATAGGAAAAAGTATTACAAATTCTAGATCTGCCTCTGATAATAAAAGTATTTGTCTAAATTATATATTTTATATCTTTTTTAAAGGTTTCCCTAGCTAGTTGGTGTAATGAATGTAGATATTTTTTTTTGGGTGGGGTTGGGGGGAGGGGGGTAATGAATTATATCAGAATTTTAGACATAATATATTCGATAAAATTCATATAGCCAACTGACTGAGCAACTGAGAGTTTCCGTAATGTCAATGTTTTGTGCTACCTCTAGATAGAAAAATAAATGATGATCTTTCACATCTTTAATCTAATAATAAATAATAATAGGACCAATATTTTCCAATAACAACTACACTATGTGAATTTTTTTATTTTTTTTAGATTCAGCGTTTGATACTCATGTTTGAAGCCTAACTAAATTTGATTCATATTGAGAAATCCTACTTCTAGAGGTAACTTTATCTTTACCAAAGACGATTAGTTTATTTTAGTGCTTAAACCTGAGAACTTTAATTTTAAAAAAAGAATACTTTATCACTCAACGATAACTTTTGATAGGTAATTGCTAGTCTTTAGATTTAAGTTCAAACACTAGTTAGAAAGTAAAAGTACACAAAATTGTCACTTATTAATACTATACTATATTCTATATACTAGTATATGCTATTTAGCCATTTTAACTTTTTTCATAGGACAAATAGAGGGTTCATATGTACCTTTCAAATAATTATTCCTTCACCTACTACCTAGCTGTACTTTATAAAAATTAATAAACACAAATATTAATGACAGACATGCATAAATCTAATATATATATATATATATATATATATATATATATATATATAAATAAATAGACTGAATCGAGAATAACGTATTCGGTTGAACTCATTGAATTCACCCTAAATCTATCTTTCTTTTCAAAGAAACTTTTTATTATTTTTATATTTTAACTTGTTGTAAGTTTTCGTATGTAACTTTTTTTATTATTTTATACATTGTTGATTTATTCTCTTGTGGACAGTTATTTGTAGTTATCTTATAGGAAATTTGACAATGTAAAGCTATAAACATTTAATTGATTACTTTTTGGTTAGGTTACATCATTTAAGTGTGGTGGTTTTGCAATGGGCTTTTCAACAAACCACATAACCTTTGATGGAATAAGCTTCAAGACTTTCTTACAAAACTTAGCTTCTCAAGCATTTGATGATGACAACAATAACCCTAAGCCCTTAGCCATTGTCCCATGCAATGATCGTACCCTCCTAGCCGCTCGTAGGCCTCCACGTGTCACGTTCCCACACGTCGAATTACTCAAATTGGATGTCCCCATTGGTGAAGAACTAAATGCTAAAGTATTTGAAACCCTACAAGAAGAACTTGACTTCAAAATATTTAAGTTCAATCCAAGTGACATTAATTCCTTGAAGGAAAAGGCAAAAGACGAAAATACCCCTAACGCGAAAATCACGAGTTTTAATGTGGTAACTTCTTACGTATGGAGGTGTAAGGCGTTATCGTATGATGATGAGAACAATTCAGAGCGAGTTTCAACTGTTTTATTCGCGGTTGATATCAGACCTAGGTTAAATCCACCATTGCCACAATCTTACGCTGGCAACGCTGTGCTGACGTCCTACGCGTCAGCCACGTGTCACGAGCTTGAAGAAGGGCCTTTTAGTAAAATTGTTGATTTAGTGTCACAAGGGGGTAAAAGAATGGATGATGAATATGCAAGAAGTGCAATTGATTGGGGTGAGATTAACAAAGGATTTCCAAATGGGGAATTTTTGCTTTCATCATGGTGGAAATTAGGGTTTTCACAAGTTGAATACCCTTGGGGTAAACCAAAATATAGTTGTCCTGTGGTTTGTCATAGAAAAGAAATTATATTATTATTCCCAAATATTGATGATGGTAAAAGCAACAACAATGATGGGGTTAATATATTTGTGGCTCTTCCTCCCAAGCAAATGAACAAATTTGAGTCTTATTTTAACAAGTTTTTGTTGGATTGAGATTTTGTGTTCTTTTTTTTTTATCTTAATGTTGTAAACTTGATGATGTGAGTGTTGAATTTTAATTATATTGTATGGTGATGTTAAAAGTGTAATAAATTATTATACTTTGTGTATTGCTTTTTATTGAATTAATGAGCTTTTGTGTAATAAAGATTTTATGCGTATGGAGTGAAGTGATTATTCTTTTGACATTTTTTTTCTCTATCTTATTACCCTCTTACGTTTAAGGGTATTATCGATTGATAAGGCTTTGATCCAATATTGAATTCGTTTTAAAATATATACGTATACCTCTTTTTTGGTGTGTGTGTGTGTGTTATTAACAAGTATTTTATATGTGTTGTTAAAAAAACGGTGAAGTGAGTGTTAAATTTTAATTATATTGTATGATGATAGCTAAATGTGTAATAAATGATTATATTTATATATCTTTTTGGATCGAATAAGCTTTATGAATATTAATGTAATAAAAATTTAAGTGACTGAATATGGAGTAAAGTGATTATTTTTCTATTTGTCTCTTTTTCGCCTTTGGATATTATCGATTGATAAGACTTGATCAGACATTTAATTTGTTTGAAAACTATCAAAATACTAATTAATAACACTATGTAACATAATTATTGATTTATAAAGTTTCAATACAAGATATATAGAAGAAAAATTACTTTAATGACACTCCAAATATATATATAGTCATCACCAATTCTTTTAAGAATGGTTTATATGATGACTACTAAAGACTTTATAGTTATTTTTTCGATATATGTATATCACTCCGGGCTTTTAGAAAATATCGATAGAAGTATATCGAATAATCTTCTAAAAAGTGACGGGTTTTTTTAAAGCAATTTAATACTAACAAGTAACAACAACATTTTTAAAAGATTTCGAACAATATTATATTCTACGACCACCAGTACCATTTTCTCTTTGACAATTGAAATAAACCGCAGCTACTGGTAATCCAAAATTATAGAGCTTTGCAAATTCCCTCGTATCGAAATTTTGGCGATTTTCGGGAGCATAGATGATTTCTCGACGCAATTGACGAAATAAAACTAGAACAAGTCGATGTATTCCCATTGTAGGTCTTGGACACTCATAAGATACAACTTCATTTCCTATATCACACAAAAAATAAATAATCAAATATATAAATGATACGAAAAAATTCACCTTACGGTCTAAAAATTCTTTTTAAACAAACTAAAATTCTTATGAGTAAACGCTAAACCATGATATATTAAAATTTTGTATCAATCGACGATATATATATATATATATATATGTATATATATGTATATATGAAAGACTTACCAAAGGTTACTCCTGTGCTTGCTGGAATGTTAGTGACCAACCTAAAAAGAAAAATTTGTAATAAGAGTATTAATATTCAAGTTAGAGCCAGTATGGTAATTATGAATTCGATATAATTAACTCGATAATTTTGATTTAAATTATGTATTTATACTGTTTCAAATTTCATTTAACAGTACAACACCGATTCAGAATAATAAAAGGAAATAGGGCTCATAATAACTAAAAATTATGACTCTGTCTCTGATAATGTTAATATGCATGCAATATGTGAATATGTCATTTGTCCTAATTTTTTAATCACTAATGGAATTATTTGTAGAAAAAAGTGTGATTAATATCTTTCTTTTTAATCTAGTGTCTTGTTCGTAATTGATGTAGTTGACAGTAGACCCTTTTGGTACCGATAGTTTACAAGTGTCTTGTTCGTAATTTATTCAAATGTCTTGTTCGTAATTTATTCTTTTTGATTTTCCATTCAGTATTATATCTGTTTATGAATTTGAATAATTCGAATGTTAATATGCATGCAATATATGAATATATCATTTGTCCTAAATTTTTAATCACTAATGGAATTATTTGTAGAAAAAAATGTGATAAATATATTTTTTAAAATCCAGTGTATTGTTCGTAATTGACGTATTTGACGGTAGACCCAGTGTCTTGTTCGTATTTTATTCTAATGTCTTGTTCGTAATTTATTCTTTTTTATTTTCCATCCAGTATTATATCTGTTTATGAGTTTTACTAATTCGAATTCACTTTCAAAATTCCATTTTAAAGAATAAAACATTTTATACCCTAAAGCTCGAATCTCAAATCTTTTGTAATTACGGATTTACTTCCCCACCACATATTTAGAGATACTTAATAATTAACTATGATATGTTAGTAATCTTGTATTATCAACTTTAATTTACTCATTTAGCTACTATTTTAACATGTTAATATTATAATTTTTTTAAAAAAAATTAAAAAAAAAAAGAAAAAAGAAAAAAAAGCTAACCAGTGCAAATAGTCCTTGTGACAAGGATTACTGGGAGTTGGAGCATCAGGATCCACCATAACCTTCATAAATCAGAGCAAAAAATAAAATTTAAAATGAATTTTCTATTATAAAAATTGGAAAAATAACTTCGATTACTAATAAATGTACGAAGTTATTTTCTGAATAAATTTATGTTATATACTCTGATAGTATAACGAATAATTTATACCATCATGTAATTCAACATGTATCATGCATGCTATGTATTTACAATGTAATTTAATAGAATTAATAACAATTACTTTCTAAGTGATTTTATTATATAAAGAATATTTACATCACTAATACACATAACTTATGTTTTTAAACATTGTTACCTATTCTAATGCTCAACTATTTTCATAAAAAAAAACTGAAATATTATTGAAAAAAAATTATAACTCTTTCTGAAATATTATTTTCGATAGACTCACAACTCAAGTAAAACATATATAAAAAACGAGTAAGAAAAGCAGGAGAGTAATTAATAACAATAATAATAAAGGAATAAATCCAGACAACACTCGATTAGCTATTAATCTTTTGCCCTAGTCATCGACTTTAGTATCTTTTTATCTAGATTCATATCCTTAGAAAGTTTACGTGTGTCATGTCATATTATCACATTTCTTTGACCAACCTCTCCCCACTCCTCATACTCATCAACCTAAATATAAAAAATGAAAAACGACACGTGTACAAAACAAAAGCAACGAAACTTGTGTATATAAGTGTGTATATATATGGTATACCAGAGTGTAAAAAGTCTGAAAATCGTCTCCTCCAACTTCAACCCTAGGTTGGTTGACAACCATAGAAGGCCTCAAATCACAACCATTTCTAATCTCCTTATTGTTATAAACAACTCTTAGGTTAATAGACTTTGTGAATGGATCCAAAACATCCCCTATCACTCTAGCAAGTCTCAATGTATCTCTTTCTCTTTGCATGATGAAATACTATTTAAGCAATGAGTCAATGATCATATTGAGTTAGAATTAAGGGGTATTTATACAAGCTAGTTTTGGGGGTATATCCACTTGTGTTTTGTTCTTGTGTCACTCCATGTTTTTGGCATTCTTTTTGTTCTCTATCTCTTTTTGCTCCAACTTGATGATATAGCTCTTTGCATATATGCGATTTTAAAGCATACAAACAAGAATCTTATCAATTCCACAAAAGTTTGATTTTGGGGTAAAGTCAAAGTGTCATGTCACTCATGCATATGATTTCACTATAACTAAAAAAAAGGCCAAATACATAAGCAGGTCCCTGAACTTGCTGGATTTTTTCCCTCAGGTACTTTAACTAGGTCATTTTTTTAATTAATCATTGAATCCCCATAATTTGTTCCTTTAAACAAATATCGTTGTCTGATGTGGAACTAGATTAATGAGGGGTATTGATAGAGGATACGTATGTTGTTCCACAACTCATTAGTCCAATTGATTGTGAAAATGTTCGAGAATAATTGTGTTTTACTTAAGTCATTTGAACACATTAGGAAATAAATGAGACTAACACGGTTTGTCTTCATTCCTTCAATCAAAATTATTACAATTCGAACACAATTAAAGGCATTTACAATAGAAAAGCCGATCAAAATCAACCAACAGTGTTTTAAAGGAACAAATTACGGGTGGTTCAATGATTCAATAGAAAAATGACATAGTCGAGGTACCCGAGGGAAAAAACCCAACAAGTTTAGGGATCTATTTATATATTTGGCCAAAAAAAAAGAATTTACTTCCTTTTTGTCCCAATTTACGTGACATTTTTTATTTTTTCAAGAGTCAAACAGTTTAAGTTAGACCAAGAATTTATGCATGAAAATTTTTATTTATTTTTTGAAATGAAATTTATACATTTATTGATACGCTATAAAGAAGAAGAAAAAAACTATACTATAAGTCATGATAATTATTTAAAAGATACATGAAAAATCTACGGTCAAAGATAAATTTGTTTGAATCTCAAAAATCGAAAAATGCCATCTAAATTGAAACGAATGGAGTAACTTTTAGCACCAATAATTATTCATATTAATTAGGAGTACTGCTAAAGCTTTTACCGTCATTAGTTAATTGTGGTTAAATCCAATATCGCTATAAACTTTAGGAACATTTTTAAATAATGTTAATTGTCTCTGAAAAAATATCAAGTGACAATTATAACTTATGAAATATTATAATATAAAAATATTTAAAAAATCCTGCAAGAAAATTATTTGACTTAGAATAAAAATTGCTCAAATCATATTAGGAAACAACAATTCATTGTCTCAATCAAAGTGGATAATATAAGAGTCCTACCCAAATAAGTCACAAAAAATGAAAATGACCAAAATAAGTTGCTATTTTAGAAAATAATTAAAATAGGTTTATTGGAAGAAAAAATTCTACTTTATTCGATATTCTAAATTTTTTCGTTATTCTCATAACGTGTATATTTTAATATATAACGGAACTATTTATTACATTTTATAAAGTGTAAGTTTTTCTTACACTTTATAAAGTAAAAGAAAATCTTGCACTTCATAAAGTCGAAGAAAAAATTATGTTTTACAAAGAGAAATATATATTTAACACAGGTTTCGACCGATAAAGGAGAATGTTGTTGACAAGTCTTAGGCTCCTTTTTAACATAAATTTCAAGTATTATTAACTTGATTTGTTTTACGTAGTCATTTGAACCCTCAAAAAGTCGGTCAACAATTTGTCGTTCTAAATAATCCACTCTCCAAAATTTACTTGTCCTTGTTATAAAAATAAAGTAGGGTATTTTTAATTATAATCAAGTTATAGTCAGTACTATTTATGCACATTTTTTTTATAAATTGATCAAAGAAATTTATGATATCGGACATTAATTGAATATAGCATTGTGTTTGGGATGACAATTATAATATACAAAATTTTCTTAATGTATAATTTCGTCATCCCAATAATCAAAACTCTAACTTTTGAGGTAGAAGACAATTTTTTGTGATTGAAATGACGAAAAATAGAAGATTAAAATGTTGAAAGAAGCTATGTTTGAATGTCCTTAAAAAGAGTTTGAAGGAGTTTTCAAAATAAAAAAATAAAAACACGTATGTAATAATTTTTTCTGTTTTTATGACATGTCAAATCAATACAATTGTATGACAATTACTGCAAGAGCTTCGTAAAAATTCAGAACGTGAAAATATTTCTATTTGTAAAACATAATTTTTTTTCTTTGACTCTGTAAAGCGCAAGAAAAAGTTTCACTTACTAAGTATAAGAAAAACTTACACTTTATAAAATATAATAAGAAAAATTTACACTTTATAAAATATAATAAATAGTTTCGTTATATATTTAAATATAAACGTCATGAGACTAACGAAAAATGTTTAGAATATTAGGTAAAGTGGAGTTTTTTCTTTTACTAAATCCATTTTAGTTACTTTTCAAAATAGTAATTTATTTTGGTAACTTTTATCTTTTTGTGGCTTATTTAAATTCCGAACTCATAATGTAAACCTCATTGATGAAGTTACGATAGGTCAACTGAAACCTATTCTTCAAATTACGTGATCATAAATTATTTTATTTTGTTATCTTGCAAATTTAATGTAAAGAGACCCATTTAATTTCATAATAAGGTTTTTTTCTTCATTAACTATTGATTTTTTACTCGAAATACTTATAAATTTATACAGATATTAGTGACCTTCAAAGTAATAAAACTATGACTAAAGAAACTAAAGCGCATAGTTAAAACGACTCCCACAATTTCGAGAGAAATTATGTACTAAATAAATTAATGTAGAATGATTTTTTTTTCTTTTGTAAAAATTCTTTGCTAAAGCAGCTACATTGACGAAGAACTATTTGTTTCAACGTTAATTTTCTTTTAAAAAATGATTTTATAAAAATGCCTTTGATAAAGCAGACACATCAACGAAGAGCTACTTGTTTCACCCTCAACTCTCTCCAATATATTAAGAGAATAAATATGTGTGTGCGCATGTATATATATGTGTGTGAGAGAAAAAATAGGAATGGTTGACTTGCAAGAATTAATAAGAATTTATTATTCTGTAAGTGATAAAGACATTTAAAAAGAATAAAAAAAAGCAAGAAATTGTCTTATACATTATTATATATTAATTAATTAAATATTTTTTATTACTTGTATATTTCTCTTAAATTAAAGATTATCGAATATAAATTAAAATTAGAGTAACTACAAAATTGAAAGTCATTTTCCTCTTTACGTAAAGATAGCGAAGAGGATAAAAAAGAATACTCTACTTTTGTATATTTCCTTTCTAAATTATCCTATGAATTTTTATTTTTTAAAAAACGATTTAAAACAGAAAAGGTTAAAACCAAAAAAAAAAAATCTCAGGGCTTACGTTTTTTACGCTTGAAACTTATGCCTTATGGATCTACGTCTTCATTTTGTGCACCAAAATATTTTTGATACGCTCCACGCCAAAAAAATATTTTTGAAAATACTGATGCATATAGTGTAAAAAACAATTATATATATTTTAACATGCGCTGATACGCCCCATGCCAAAAAAATATTCATAATAATTGTTTTCTTATAATAATATTTTGATGACGTGATTGTATAAAGAAAAAATATGCGCTGATATTAAGGGTGTGTTTGTACGAAGAAAAATGTTTTCTACACGAAAGACATTTTTTCTGGAAAATGAGTAGATTTTTGACCTATTTTCTCATGTTTGGTTGGTGAGTAGAAAATATTTTGCGGAAAAGATTTTTAGTATTTGATTTATGAATGAAAAATATTTTTGAAAAGCATCTTTTATTTTTACTAGAGTAGAAAATAACCTTTTTAATTGAAAATATTTTTTTAAAATAAACATAAATATTTTATTGGGGGTTGGGGGCAGGGGGAGGGGTCGAGGGTAGGGGTGAAAAGATAAAAATTTGAAATTGAAAATATTTTTAAAAAATAAATTGAATTTTTTTTGGAGGGGGGGGGAGTGCAGGAAGGTCGAGAGTAGGGGTGAAAAAACTTTAAATTTTTTTTGAGAGAGTAGGTGGGTGATTTCAGAGCAGGGGAGAAAAATAAAGTTTTGAAGTTGAAAATATTTTTTAAAAATAAACTTAGAATTTATTTGGAGGTTGGGGTGAAAAAATGAAATTTTAAAATTGAAAATAATTTCAAAGAAATTTAAATTTTTTTAAAGGGGGTAGGGGGCTGATTGGGGGTGGGGGCAAGGGTAGGGGTAAAAAAAAATGAATTTAGAACTATCTTTTAAAAATAACTTTTATTAAAAATAAATTAATTTTTTTCAACAAAAAAAATATTATAATATTAAGTTGGAAGAGGCTTTGAAAAATATTTTTCTTAAGTTTTGAAAGGAAAATAAATTTAAAAAATATTTTTCAAAACATTTAACTCAACTAACATAAAAAAATTGAAAAATATTTCCCTTTCGTACCTAAAAGTTAAATCTTTTTTTTTTTTGGTCAATAAATAATGCGTGAGATATATTCAGGCGTCAAATGTTCGAACATGGTATAATTGGAAGGGGGAATATTTGGTCCCATTTTTATTTAGAACATTATTCGTTTGGTCATAAAATTTATTATTTTTTATTTTTTATTAGAATTTTTTTAATTTTATTTAAAAAATATTTTTGGTCATGAAAAATATAAATCCAACTTAAATTTGTAGTTCAAATAAAAAATAATTTATAATTTATTTTTCAATTCATTTTTTATTTTTAAATTATTTTTAAATATATTCAAGCGTGAATATTATTTCAAATATTCATTGAGAAAATATTATGAATCCATGGCCAGATAAAGGGCCTCTAAATTTGTTTTCAAACTTGGAATAATAAATCTTGGTCCCACGGAGAATTTTAGTATCTCAGTAGATTAACCTGGTTAATGAAGGTCTATCGTGTCTCATTCCCATTTTTTTTTCAAAAATAAATAAATAAAATAAATGAACTTGGTCCCTATTTTTTAACTTTTTTTTTATATTTTCACCCCTCCCTTTTACGAATCCTATTTTTATTGGGAAAGGATTTGATTCTTTACTCA